AGAAGCAGGCTTCCCGCCGAGCAGGGAGCCCGATGCGGGGCTCGATCCCAGGACCCTGGGACCATGACCCGAGCCGAAGGCAGATGCCTAACGACTGAGCCACCCAGGCGCCCCTTGTTTCCTCACCCTGATGGTTGGTGCTTATGTCTTTGTAACAGAGACCCTGCCATCTGGGTGAGCTGCAAGCCCACCAGCCACAGCAGATGCTGTATAACCTGTCTGGGGCCCTCAAGGGTTAAACTGTTGCTCCTTTATCAGATCGCATCTTAGGCCTCACAAGTATCTGGGTAGGTGGGATCACTGTGCTAGGTAGTATCACTTCACTCCAGTAGCAGTATGGCTACTCTGCCATTCCTCCATCATTGTGGCATCAACAGGCAAGAAATCACTAAAACAGTGGTAGTGGTGGTGGTGGGGCAGAGAATGGGATAATCGAAAGGTATGACCTAAAAAGTATTTTCCATTATTGAAAATTGCCATTTTAGAATTGACTAGGTAGTCTCAGTGAAATCTTGATGTCTTATCACAGTGCATTGATCAAAGCATTCCTTGGGCCCAGTAAAAGCTGGGAAAAGACTTCCCAAAAGGAATGTCAAAGTTGTTGATACCATTGTGGGAATAAGAATTCTAAGTTTAGGACAGTTTGTTCAGTGATCCGTTTATATTGTGTTTGTCTAAATTCATATCCTCTGGCTTATGTTAGGAATACATGTTAAGCGTAGAAAACGTTGGATACTATAGTGGAGTTACAGCAATGAAAACAAGAACCAACTACAATCCCTCCATCTGGGGATAGCCATTGGTAGCATTTTAATATGTGCTCTTATAGTGTGTGTTCTGTGTGTTAAAAAATATATACATATAGCTTGTTATCACATTATAGATGTAAACTTGTAATCCTTTCCCCCTGAAACTTCATAAACATTTTACTGTATTATGTTTTTAGCGTGAGAGTGCGCGGGGGAGGGGCAGAAGGGGAGAGAGAGAGAGAGAGAGAGAGGGAGAGAGGGAATCTTAAGCAAGCTCCATACCCGATGCAGCCCAATGCAGTACTCTTGTCTCACTACCCTGAGATCATGATCTGAGCTGATATCAAGCATCAGACACTTAACTGACTGAGCCACCCAGGGACCGCAACATTTTACTATATTATTATACGGTTTTTATAAATAGTGTTGATAACTGCACAATATTTCTTTGTCTCAACATACCAAAATAATAGTTGTTGGATAAGAGATTATAAGTAAAATTTCTCTATTAAAAATAATACCACGGGGGCGCCTGGGTGGCTCAGTTGGTTAAGCGACTGCCTTCGGCTCAGGTCTGATCCTGGAGTCCCAGGATCGAGTCCCACATCGGGCTCCCTGCTCAGCAGGGAGTCTGCTTCTCCCTCTGACCCTCTTCCCTCTCGTGCTCTCTA